GGACACGAATACTGTACACGACTTACGTATGCATGACAGGAGATGATGGCTACACATCCAAAATAACACGTGATAAAGGAGAAATCCTTCCTCATCCATCGCGATTCGCGATTAAATTTTAATCACGGCTTCGGGCTGATACATCACATGAGTACAGGTATTTGGATATGTTATGAATTTTCAAGACCGCTTTATATAAACTTAATTACCAGTGCCCGCGAGAAGATAAATTCCTCGTACAGTGATGTATTTCTATATATTTCGCTGTTTGTCTACCAATTTTTACGAGAAAACGATTTTGTTTCCTTGATTATTGGAATTCAGGGAATTCGATGGCATCAGTTATGTAAGGAAAAGGTCAAAGTCGTGACGTGTTAGCCTCTATACTTGTACATTCGTCCAACGAATGTACAATAAATTCTTCGCATACGCAGCATTCCCTCACGAGTTTCACATTGATTCACTTGAAAGAGAACACAACATATGGTTGCATTTTTTCATTTCATACGGTATAAAATACCTGTGGGTACGGTAGTGATTAAATATTCAGTTGTCCAGTCCTCATCAACTATATTTTATTTCTGGCATCTCTCTTTGTTTTCTTGTGGGATTCAAAATATTTTTTTCTCATTTGGGCTCGAAAGAGTTTTGATCCCGGATTAATTAATGTTCGAATTTTGCCACATTGGAGGACGGTTCGTTAATGGAGGAAAAAATACGACATATCCACGAGATAACCACAGATATCCAATCAAGATTTGTATACATAAAGTATGTACCATGTACATAGTAAAGTAGGGCCCCAACAAATGGACGATTTGACTTGGGGACATTAACCACTCAATCAATTCCGCCCGACATTCGGACAAAGTCTCAACATACAGACACTTTTCTTACATTTCCAGAAGAAAGAAAAATTTGATTTTTTTGTAGAAAATACTGTATGAGCAAGAACATATTGAGTTACTTAATATTCAAAATAATTGTAAAAAAGTCAGCAATTCATAATGTCCAGCACTTTGTCTTTCTATTCAAAAAAAAAATATATATATATATGCTCATTTCCCCAACTCGAATTTTTTTTTCCAGCTGGCCTCTCTTGAAATTCGACTTGAAGAGGTGCGACTGCAATACACATTTCAAAATACAGTAATAAGAAGAGGAAATGGAGGAGGAGGAGAAGAAAAACAAGCGAGAATAACAGTGGCCCATGAGGGGCATTTGATTACCGTAGCGCAGAGTACAGTATAGAAAATACAGTACAGTACATATATATTGCATATACTGTACTGTACTGTACAGTACAGGACAGAGGCGGCGGCGAGGAATGCGGATCCCGTGGGGCATCTCTGTAGTTATATTCCGCGACCAGCCGATGAACTACTTCCGCGTGGTGCCCCGGTGACCCGTTGCCCGGGTCCGCGGGTTACATACACTATCACTATACAGTACACTCCATTACATCGCGGAAGGCTGGACCCGCACTCGGCCTTCCGATAGACAGCACCCAGCACAGCAATAACAACGTCATTCCGATCCCCCCGCGCCGCCGTCGGCGATCAGGTTCACGGTGTTTTTTTTTTTTTTTCTTTTCTCCCCGATTCCTTTATTTTTATCCTCTTTCGCCTTTCTTGCTTCAGATACAGAACTTCGGGTAGAATAACTTGTATTATTCCATTATTTTTCTATCCACAGATGGTAAAGAGAGGGACGGAGACCAGAAATATTGACCCCCGGCAATCAACATGCCTTGATATTGCAAGAGAGGTACAGCGTACTGTACTGTACTGTACTGTCAAACCTGAATTTATAGTAACACGGTTTGTCCTTTGGCTGATTTTGCGACACTGAGCAAGGTTTACACAATACCGAGGGTTTTTATTGACGGAGGAAGGTTTACTTTAAAAAAGAGTTTCTGTATTGTAGGCGAAATATCCCTGTTTATTGCAGAATTGTTCGGCCACTGACTCAGTTTTATAAATTAGAGAGCCACAATGAATGATTTCAAGCTCAAATGGACTGTTTTCATGCTATGTTTCAAAATAATACAGTGGAATCTTGATGAGTCAAACCTACCTCAGTTGAATATACTGTATAAAACATGTTTCGAGTCCATTTGTGAATTCCCTTAAATTCAATGCATTAAAAAGGCTCTGAAACTCGAATGCTTCCCCATCACCCGTCCAAACCTACACGGTTCAAGTGAATTTTTCTGGAGGCCTTTATTTGGCTATTATTCATTTCCCACAGGAGAATGTTCAAAGCAATCAAAATGTAACTTGACGTGTTTTGAAAGGGAGTGAAAGACTAATTGGGAAAATGAACCCTTAACCACCTCCATGTTCAGCAGTGTGTATACACTCATTTGAGAAGCAATTCAAAACCTACTAGAATATCACTGCAATACTAGTTAAATTCCTTGTAAATTTTCTTTCTTCCCTTAAAAAAAAGGCTCGTTTCCCCGACTGGAAACCTCCCTAATTCGACTAAAAGAGGTTCAACTGTACACCTTCGTGGAAAAGAGAAAAAAAAAAACCACAATAGGGTGTGACTCTTGCAGAAGCATTTCCCTGCAATTTGACCTCATCCCGCAATAATTCGACCGTCCCAAAATTTCACCATCAAATTTGCTGGGAGGTTGACTCGCAATTCCACTCTTGCCACGCAGCAATTCCACCTACTACTTTGGCCATTTTTTTGTTTCGCTTTTGCATTGACATTTATTAAAATTCCATGAAGTTGTCACGCAATTTCACCGCTTCGCAATCCGACCCTATATACCTTGGCAACGGATCAGGGTTGAATTGCGAGGTACCACCCGTGCAGTAGTTTTAAACCCGCGGCTCAGGGCACTGGATGATGATGATGATGATGATGGTTCTGTCCTCAGCAATGGCCTAGATTCGGTCCACATCAAAGCCTGCCTGACTAATCCCGCCAAAACAGTTTCTAGAGCCCACCGTCACGCAGTACACCCGGTAGAAAAAACACGGGTGCAACGAACCCAGGCCGACGAGGAAATGCCTGTACTGTACATGCAGTACAAAACTGCACAGTCAGTGTCACTGACAATTCCCAGAGTCGGAACTCGGAAAAGCTCTCTGCATATCGTGTAACGTCGAAAAGTTGAATGCATTGTACAGAATAAATAAATGAAAGCAAAACAAACAAACAAAAAAAACCTATAGAGCAATAAGACTGCCATATATCATCAGCAGTGTTTGATCCCTGTCAAACCTCCGATAAAAACCAATATCAGCCTCTTCGATCCTATGCATCATCTGCAAACTTCACGAGGGACGAAATCAATGAAGGCGCAAGCATCATTCGTCAACCGATAAGTAGGAGACTTTCTTCAAGGCGGATAAATGTGGAGTCGATGACAAGCACACGCATGGCACAGCAGGGCTTTGCTGAGGTATTTACTGATGTCTAATACTTCTTATTGTTCAGTGGTGCATTAGATTGATTTCCCCTGTGCCATTCACGTCTTGTTTTTGCCCTCTTTATTTATTTTTTTCGTTTTGATATCTGCTCCCGATGCGGGAGATTTCTTCGAAATTGGCTGATGCTCCGTTCACTGCTAATTCTAATGTCTCTCATTCAGTCATATATATATCTAGTGTATGTACTGTATTATAATGTGCACACACATGCACAACGAGCATATATGGAAGTTGGGCCTTCCATTCGTCAAGGATTCTGATTTATGCGGATTTATCAAAGGGATTACTTTTTGACATTCGTAATTGACGCGGTAATTTTACAACATTAGGCACAGTGAGAAGATGATCTCGGTACAGTCCAGGTCCCTCTCTGAAACTTGCGACGGTTAATCGCCTGCTTTATTTCTCTATTATGATCTATACAATACAGCGAAATCCTTTGTAAAAAGGAATGTCGTTATGACGAATTTATCCTTGGTCCCAGCACTTTCTTCATCTATAGGCGCAATTTGACAAAACTCTTGTTTTAAAGAACCTCATTTCACGTCTGTATGACCCCCCTTCTGTACACAGACCGTACGGATCATTTTATAAAAAGCAGGGAAAAAATTTATAAAAATTAAACTGGTGCAGCATTAATTCCAACTTCTTAAAGCCAGCAAACCTTCCTTTATTGAGAGAATGTAAAATGAAATAGAAAAACATATTATGACGCATTTCTTGGATTAATTTCAGAATGTATGCCTTTCTTCCAATTATAACGAGTAGATCGGAAAATTATTTCTGTTTATCTCGTCCCTACTGGGCATTGGCTGTACCAAAGATTTCACTGTACTGCATGTATGAGGAATGATTCCTTCAATCGCAATTTTGATCAATTTGACTAATAATACAATATAATACTGCAATAATCACTTTAGAATGAACGATTACAGGGCGATTTATTAGCCTTATTGTACTACAGTAGATTACAAGAAAAGAAAAAAATTGGCATGTAGAGCAGATTTTTTGTTTAAACGAATAATGAGAACATTGTTTGTTCTTTATACATGTGTGATTCGTATGAAGAATGATTTGAAAAAAAAGAAAATAATGCTTGCACCCATTAATATACCGTACTTTGTTAATGCACTTTAGACAAGGCAGATACAGCTGGTGAAATGGAATCACACATGCATGTACTATTGGAGAAGCCTTTTGCGTTTTTTCTTTTTCTTTTTCTTTTCCTTGTCGTGCATGTATAAGCATCAACGTCGTTTCAAACCAACGATTGCTATCAATCTCTCACACTCTCTTTCATCGTAAATTAATGTGAATAAATAAAGCCGGCTCGTCCTCGTTCATATATCGACTTATCGGAAAGAAGCAGGGCATTTACTGTACTGTAATTTGAACTGGTACTCGTTCATGATGAGAACAAGACGTGTCGATGATGCCTGTTTGTGGTCTCGAGGGTGAACCAGCTGCAGCACCATTTAGCAGAAGCAGAAGAATAAGCAAAAGCCTGGCTGCATCATCAGGAATAATAAATGCAGCATCAGCACCACCACTCACCCGGCCGTTGGACAGCAGCAGGACCTTGTCGAACATGTAGAAGATCCGCGACGAGGGCTGGTGCACGGTCACGACGGCCGTGCGGTGCTCGGTCTTCACCAGGTGCTTGAGCGCCACGATCAGGTCACAGGCAGCGGCCGAGTCCAGGCCGGAAGTGGGTTCCTGGATTCAATAAAGGGATCATATCATCAACCGGAGACGGGATCATTTACACGGCATATTCCATGTACTGTACTGTACTGTACTGTACTGTACTGTACGACACGCTATAGACTAGGACTAGACTCTAGGTCTAGAGCAACGTTGATGGAACTCTTCGACGCTCTTCCAAGTACAGTACAGTATACTGCTCTACGTTCTGTACTACATGAGTACACTATACAAATTCCCTCATGACGATGCTGAAACTCCCATGTTGATGATCATTCTTTATTCATCGGATTCAACCGGATGTCTCGTTTGAGACGAGTACTGTACACACAAGTGCAGCACGTTATTATACCGAGCACAGAACAGTACAGTTCTATAACTGGGAAACCTGTCGCAATTGCTTCCGCCCCATTTCCGCTCCCTCGTCTCCTTGCACAGTACAGTACTGTATACTGGGAAAAGAACCCTGAAACACGGAACACGGGTCTTCCGGGCTCGTTATAATGAGTATACTCTATATATATATATATACACGACAGAAGCCAGAAAATGCCCCGGCTTTCGAATGCTGTACCTGCACAGTACTGATATTTCCGTGACCTCTGAAAACGCTTCCACTCTTACTTTCAGTCCAGACCCGGCTTTCCGTACGCGTGTAACGAATTTATTGTATACAAGCTGGGGGTGCCCAGCCACACCTGGGCATTGGTCAGATTTTATTATATGTTAAAATTTTGATCAGATCACACATGGAAGAGAGCATGCCCAGTTGTGTGGCCCAGTCACATCTCTGTGCATTAAGTTCAAAAAAGTGAATGATACTAAAAAGGACCACCGGTAATTTTGTAATTGTGCTCAATGCGCCAGTTGTGGCCCGGTGGGCCACAACTGGCACATGAGCAGGGGGATTTTATTTATGCAAGAACGTTACAAATTTGGAGATTGGTTGAAATTTTTGAATTTTGGAAACATTTTAAAGTTGACAAAATGGAAGAAAATCAGAATGGGTAATTTGAGATTTTCACTTTAGCTCATTCTAATTATGAAAGATACTAAAGCTGGTTAATTGTTAAAGGACCACCGGTAATTTTGTAATTGTGCTCAATGCGCCAGTTGTGGCCCGGTGGGCCACAACTGGCACATGAGCAGGGGGATTTTATTCATGCAAGAACATTAAAAATTTGGGGATTGGTTGAAAATTAGAATTTTGGAAACATTTTAAAGTTTTCAAAGTTGGCAAAATGGGAAACAGAATTTTTAAAAATGTCCGTTTTTTCAGTTTAGCTCATGATAACTTGTTTTCAATTTGTGGAATGTGAATCAAATTTTAGGGGTGAATACGCATGTATGTTTTACAAATTTACATATTTTTTTGATTGAGCAAAATCAAAAACTTGAAAAGCTAAAATTAAAAATGTTCAAGTATTTTTTTCATGATTTATCCCAATTTTTGAAAAACATTTTGCATTTTTCACTGTAACTTTGTGAATATTGAAGCTTTTTCAAAATTTGAAAAAGGAAAATATGGCTAACATCATGGTGCTTTTTATAAAGTTTTGAAAAATAATTTTGACCAAGAATTCATGTTTTGACAAATTTTTAAAGTTGGCAAAATGGGAAACAGAATTTTTAAAAATGTCCGTTTTTTTCAGTTTAGCTCATGATAACTTTTTTTTCATTTGTGGAATGTAAATCATATTTTAGGGGTATATGCGCATGGATGTTGTACAAATTTACATATTTTTTTGATTGAACAAATATAAAAACTTGAAAAGCTAAAATTAAAAATGTAGAAGTATTTTTTTCCCAATTTATCCCCGTTTTTGAAAAATGTTTTGCGCTTTTCACTGTAACTTTGTGAATTTTTGAGCTTTTTCAAACTTGGAAAAAAGGAAATGTAGAAAACATCATGGCGCTGCTTATGCTGTTTTCAAAATCAAATTTGCTTCAAAATTCAATTTTTACAGAATTTTGAAAGGTAAGACGCCGGGAAATGGGACCCTCCTGCAGGCCTCTCTGGGGCTCTGTGGGAGGGAGGTAAGGCTCAGGAAGGAAGGGAGGGCTGGTGAAAGGAAGTATGCATGGAGAAAAGAGCAGGAGATGGGGAAAAACCGGTTCTTGCAGGGGGGGGGGGGGGCAGGGAAAATTAAAAAAAGTGGGAACCGATGACGGCAAGCAACTTTATAATAGTAGATGCGCAATTTTTGTCTTACAAAAGTACATGTATATCAGCTATTTATCACCCTAATTGTTTTTCAAATTTTTGTATATGCATAAAATTTGTACCATTCTATTACAGTGGCACCACAAAATAATGATGACCTTGCATGCAAAATATTATAATCACGAACAATTGAAACCTGAAAATTCTCGAAAAATCATGGAACATCACGAAAATATTATATTTTAAAAATCGTGATATATGTTCAAAAAATTGGGCTACGCCTATGAAAAATACGTCGAAAAATGTGTTTCGTGAATTTTCTCTAATTTATTCTCCAAAACCGGCAAAGTTTGCAGTATTAAAAAATTGCTTTAAAATTGCCTTTTAATGCTGAAAAATCAAGTCTGTTTTTAATTGTTTTTAAGTGGCGCTAGAATTTCTGGAGGACTTTTTAAAACATTTCTGCCAGACATGATGATTTACTAATACTGTACTTTTTCTATTGAAGTTTTTGCCCAGAAATCCAGTGAATTTCACAATGATTCGAAATGTTTGGCCCACACCTTCAAAACCCTCAGTGTGAGTTCAGAGACAAATCAGCCCTTATTTTTTGTTTACATTAGTGCTGTGCATTACTCAGTGAACCAACTTCTTCCTTGAAGAAAAAGAAAGGAGAATCCATGTCCATTAACCGAGACATGACTGCCGCGTTTTGCCCGCGCCAAACTTTTTCCAGGGATTTGCAGAAGCGCATATGGTTCCATATATACTGTACATAAATATGACGAGATCCAAGTACTTTGGCCATCTGTTATCCACCAAGACAAGGCAAGACAAGACAAGTACCCCTAGAGCAAAGCTTTACTTTTCTGCCTCTTGCAAGAGGAAAAAAAGCCCCGTTGTTTGTCTATCTGGGCGGACAATCCTTGTCACCTCGGCCTCTTGTTATCTCTTGTCGCGGGTATAGAACTCATCTGCTCTCTCTCTCTCTGGAACTTGGGGATTTCTTGACCACTTCTCGAGAAGGAAAATAAAAACAAAAAAGCTGGGCGAAATTAGGTGGGAAAGCTGGTGTGTGTGTGTGTGTGTGTGTGCTTCTGGAGGAAATATTCGGGAGAGCAACAGCAGCCATCGATCAAGTCTTGTTGTCTCAGCCGCTCCACCACGCCCGGTAGAGCAGTACAAGTAGTGTAGGTATTGTAGTATTGTAGTCGTCTTTTTTCTCTTTTTTATTATTAGTATTTTTTGTGCCTTCCGTATGACGGCTTCCGATGTTTTTATTTGCCCTTGAGGATCGATGTCTTTGGCCCTCTGCTGCGACATGGGCTAACCTGGGTTTTCTTGGGGACGACTTTTATGCTAATTTTTGGGGGTCCTCGGGATTGGGAACATTTTTATTTTTTATTTTTGCGTGAGAGAAGCAGTCGGTTTTTAACCGAATGCATGGGTATTTTCCTCCCAGCGAGCAAAACAAAATTATATTTTTTAGCATGATTTATTCATCCATCTATTTATTTATTTTATCAGCAGTTCTCAACGATGACAATTCTTGGCGAGTTTTTGATGGCAATGTTCATTCCTGGTTGCATTTATGTTTGCAGGATTTTTGTTGCATTGCAAAATCGCAGTTTCCTTTGAGGTTGCATCGATTTGTTCCAGACATTATTCGCCAAATGAGCATGATTGTAATTTTCTCGAATTTTTTGCCTAAAATATCGCGATTTTTAAAATTTAGTAGCATTGAAGAAATCCCGAAAAATGTTTGCTCGTAACTTTTACAACTTTTGAATGAGAGGAAGCAACACTAGCGCTTATTTTCATTTTCCTGAAGTTTATAAAAAAATTTCAAGGTTCATTTCAATGCCTACGGAAATTCAGCCATTTTTGGCTGAAAATTTTCATAATATGGAGCGATTTTCTTACGTGAGTGAATATTTTTATGAAGTTCCATAACTGAGCTGGAACCCTCAACAGAATGCATGAAATGTAAACTTAAAATTGAAGACAGTTTCCAATTTTAAAACAAAATTTTAAAGCATAAGCAATTCGACTTGTCCCTGATTCTCAGAAGAGTGACGCTCATTTTGTTGTTTCACGATAGTGAAACTTGTGTTTTTCAGTGATAAAAGAAAAGCTGGCTTGTGAGAAATACTGTATTTTCAAAAAATCCAAATCGAATCAACCATAAAGAAAATCATTTTTATTCATCTAAAGACGAATCAAACGAAACAGCTGGAAAAATTCCGAGAACAGATTTCCACCACCGAAATTCATTTCTGGTGAAATTCGGGGAAAATATCCTTGAAGTTCGTCCTACGTTTGGTTATTTTATTTTTCCAAACCTAACACGACTGTCGACATAACATTTTATAGCACATGAACAAGAAAAGAGACAACAACCTTAACCCAATTTTGCTGACGTTGCTGACAATTTTCTACCGGTCATCAACGTCACCACGTCCAAGGTGAACGAGAAAAAAGTTCTTTCAAATGTTTTTTTGCAGTTCGTAAATATTTTTAGTGGTGATTCATGCCTGAGCATTCGCAAGTACTATCACAGTTTCTATTCAGTACTTCGAAACACTTCGATTTTCCAACTCCTGTCACGTTAAATTTGACACACAAAAAAATGAGCAACGAGTCAGGATCACTTATATTGTTCAGTTTGGAACAATGACATCGCGATAGATTCGTTGAAAAATATTGACAAGATGATTTTTTGTCTGCATACAGTAATACTGAAGACATTCCAAAAATTCCTGAGGCCACAGCATCAAGTCATTCAATACGGCGAAAGGATAAATAAAATAAAAATTCAACTGACTTTAATTTTCCCGGGACTCTGGAATTTGA